TATTAAATGACTTTGGTAAGTGCTCCTATTGGAAGAAAGAAAAGAAAGACTGATTGAGTCCTAATAATTTCTATTATTGCATGTAATCATACATTACTGTATATTCCTTTCTGTATGCTGTCCCTGTAGTTAAATTGTTTGCAATGGCAAAGTTGAAAATGGAAGAATTCTTGGATGAACGATTGATTGATTGAATAATTGTGAGGAGCACAGCTGATGATGGGCAGGTTAATTAGCCAGTTAGCTGATAAGGACAGCTCAGTTTTGGTTTATGTTTATCTTTCACAATATCAGCATTGAATCTTGAAAATTAAGCTTACTGTATTTTTTCCAGAAGCTAATTAACCTGCCAGGATGTCTATCAACTGTGGGAGGAAAGGAAGAGGAAATTATTCTCTTGTTCCACAGTGCTAGATCCACCAGATACCTAGACCCCCAAGTCAGGAGACCGTGCCAGCTGTGCAATACTTCTTCTGTCCTGATGCGAGAGCCGCATCTCAGAACGAAATGTATATTCAACCAAACAAAAAGAGAAAATCCACTTTAAATACACAGGCCTTGCACTTCAAGTGAGCAGTGTCCCCAATGTCTTGTAGTAAAGAATTCTGCATTAAGAATATGCATCAAGAGTCCTGATGCCCTTGAGCATTTGAAACATAAGATACAGGATGAGCAATTTCAGTCCCATCATTTCACAGTAGCCATAGACACATGTCATGAATATAAAGAGCTGCTTCGTCCAGAATTTCACTTACAATGAAGACTCATATTTCACATCTTCTCCTATGCTCTCTCCACAGGCATTTTAATATTACACAATAACCCTGAGAATATTCTGTTAATCACAGGACACAATTGTAGTACAAGTCGGAGAAAAGAATAAAAAATATTTTTTTGCTTACAAAGGATGGACACTTTATTTTTTTATTCTTCTAGCTCAGTGCTATGCCTCAGGTAATTAGAGTTTGTGTTTTTATCATTTTCATGCAAAGCCATGCAATTTTCTACATTAAATGTCATCTGCCAGGTGTTTTATCCAGTCTTGAATCTTATTGAGTTTCATCTGCTGCTTCTGTGGTGTTTGTGCATCCTCCTAATGTGGTGTCATCTGCAAACGATACTAAAGTGTAGCTTATTAACTCTACCAGCATATTGAATCTAGTGGATCTAGTACAGACCCCTGCAGTACTTCCCCAATTACATCACCCTACTTATGTTACAGTAAATATTTTATAGTTTTCTTTCTTGGCAGCTCTATTTCAATTTATACAAAGTTCAAGAATGAGGAGATTGTTTCTTTTTTCATCTGACAATATATTGTTCCTCCACATTTCCAACTTTGCATAATAAACTGACTTTTGACTGGCCACTTGCTACCAATCTGTGACTTTCTAGTGCTTTAGACTGAGCGAACAGCTTCGGAATCCTCCCCCTTCTCTTGCAGCCTCAATTGAAATGCCATTGAGAATGAGAATTGCTGCTGCCACTGAAGTGGAAAGTCGTTTCACATTATCGGATGAACATGCAGGTGAGCAGAGTTTACCATCTTTGCTTGAGCTTGGCAGCGAGTAGTAAGTGCAGGGGAGTGTATCACAGGCATGAGATAAGCTGTCACTTCTGTGAATCTCTGCCTGCAGTTTTAAGCACACCTTTGTCTCAAATGTTTACTGCAGCATTTCACTCAACAAACAAAACCCTTGCTTCTTAATCAATCAAATGCAATTTGTGAGGCACGTTTGCTTTGTTAACAGAAGAGAATAACACAACGTTTGAAAGTTAAAACCTTTTTGTAGAATAACACTGAAAGCTGTAAATAAGAACAGATGCTCTTGTTTATTGGCCCAGCTTTAATTACCACTACTGGACAGTTCTCGGTTGGGGGAATTTTCTGTCAACTCCTGGCTCCCCAGTCCTAGACACAGTGACAACAACCCCCTCAGGCAGAAACCCACAAGTTAAAAGCAATATCTTATAACACTGAAGTAAAGGAACCCAAAATAGAATACCTTTGATTATTCCATCCCTCCACAACAACTGACAAATTAATTAATATTCCTTTGTAAGGACACACTATGGGAGAGATTACAGTGGGGGGTTATGTTCATAGGCAGCTTGCAAAGGAGCAAGCAGAGGGTAATTCCACAAATAAAGATGTATAAAGCATGAAAAGCACAGCGTACTGGGTATGAAATCTTTGAGTTGAAGAGACAATGGAAAGGCAGTGTGAAATTAGCTGCAGTACTTCTTCACTCTTCAAGAAAACATGACTGTTGTGAAACTGACAGTCAAGCACATCTGCCTGGTTTATTTTAATCTAAAAGTTTCAGGAAGTATACAGTATATTTAATAACTGAATATCCCCCCGCTACTGTGTGGTTTTAATCAACTGATTGCAGTATGGTATTGCATACTTCTTCATAACCCCAGATTTTAAATCTCTTTATGTCTAAAACAAGGAGATAGTTTAGTATTTGTTAGAAAGCAGATGGTTGTGGAGGAATTTAAAAAATAAACATATAAAATGTTATTATTATCATCAATACCAGGTTTACTACTTAATTGCAAATGGACCCAAAGAAACTTCCAGATGATTTTGAAAGAAGCCAGGGTCCAACAACATGACTGGGTATCTTGTTCCACAGTCCCTTAACCCCTTTCTCAGTTATGAACTTTCATTTAGTTTCCTTTTGCATTTTATGGCTCGTGTTTTACTGTTGATTTTGAAACAAAATCTGAAATTTCTTATTTCCTCCACTTTGTAAATGTTCCTATGTTGTTAACAATTCTCAGATTTCCACAAACAGTAGGCTACACAATCAGAGGTTTTCTGGCACCAAACTAAATTTTGAGATTTTAAAATCTCATTTTCTTCTCTTCCTGATGCCTTGAAGAGCTGGCAGGTGTAGAGATGTGTACTGATAACTTCGAGCCAGGCAAATGTTAGCATGCAGGGTGAAGGGGCTGCAGGAAATGAATTCTTCTTCAAGCTACAGTGCATTTTAAAATGTAATGGTAAACATTTTGATGAATCAATTAGAAATGGCTCATCAATGTACACTTTTCCACGTGATGAAATTGTATGAAGAATATAAAGAATACCTTTCACCTCGACAAGCTCGCTTGTGTCCCAGGGTAAATATATGACACATATATTCTATGTGGCAAGTAAAAAGAAAATGTGGATTTTTGTAACACAGGAGAAAGCTATGCTCGGAAGAATAGCAAAGCAAAATAATAATTTCTGGGTTTTAGAATACTATTTTCTCTTTCAAAACTATTTTCAGCCACTTTCCTCCACTGAAGTTTCCTCCATTGTAGTCTACGATACACAGTATGTACAGTATATATTTGCACAATTTACAGAAGTGCAGCTTTTCATGTTCTAAAGTACACAGTGTAACTCGTGAAACAGCCCCTGTACCTGGAGAGTGAAAAGTGCAGACCGGCCTCTTCATCCAGTGATTCTCCTTTTGACACGTTACAGCTCTGCAGAACGTGAAGGAGGACTCTCTGATTGGAGGAGAGGCACGTCCTCGCTGACATCACTTAAGATTATTATGATGTCACATCACATATTGACATCATTATGACAGCACAAGGAAAGTAACTAGGAGTTTAATGGCCCCTAACCCACCAAGGTCTGAACCACTTTGGAAATCCTGGTCTTTTTCAACTGTCGCCCCTACCAGTCAAGTCTCTCAAATTGGCTTTTATCATTATCTTTCATACCAGAATGATATTACCAGAAATCAGCTTTTGATATGCACATCGCACATGATTACATGAAAAACAACTGTATAGATGGTTTTGATTGTTTTAGACTGATATTTTTTGGTTTGAGGAACATTTTCAAATCTGATGACTGGAGAGCTTCAGAGACATTGCAGAATTGCACAGTTAAAACCCCATCTTGGGTTAGGGTTAGCATTCACACACTACTGAGACAGTTTTTACACTCAGTGCTGGATTTGGGGTCCCAAGTGAACTTTAGGACAAGTGGTAATTTGCTCCCATCTGAAACTTTTTTTTCAGACGTTTCTGGCCGCTTCTATTGTATATTACATTGTTCAGTAGTTCTATTCAAAAATTGAGTCAGATTAAAAGTTAAAATCTGTTCTGCTGGGTAAATTCTCTTAATTGTGTCATTTAATGTGCAGCTAGATGTTTAACTGAAGTCAGCATTTAATGGCTCTTGTAACTGAAGCCTTACATTGCCCTGAAATGCACTCTCACTTCAATACCATTTTTAGAGCATTCATCTGATTGAAAATGTGTCTAAAGAAGATACAGAATCTTCTTTACAGTTACAGTTTTCAAATCTGATAACTGGAGAGCTTCAAAGACGCATTGCGGAAATGCTCAGTTGTAACCCCAGCTTGGATTAGGGTTGGCCTTCCCACACTACTTAGACAGTTTTTATGCTCAGTGCTGGATTTTGGGTCCCAAATGAAGTTTACGATGAGTGGTACACAGTAATTATCTGAAACTTTTTTTTCTGAGACGTTTGGCTGCTTATATTGTATATTGCACTGACCAGTAGCTGTATATCAAAACTGAGCCAGATGAAAAGTTGTAAGAAAACCTGTTCTACCAGGTAAACCCTTTTAATGTAATTTAATATCCAAATACTGTACTTCGCTACACTGTGCTGTGCAAGCTATTGGAGAAAACCTAAACGTTTCCTTTTAGGAGAAAAAAAAAAGGAAGTTAACTCTGTGGGATACTGTATAATTTTTTCTCATGTATATTTGAAAATATATTTGAAAGGAGGGGGACCCATGTCAGAATGAATATTATTAAATAAATAATACAGGCTACAAGACTTAGGACTTGGTTGTAGGCTGGGTGGAATATTACCTTTTTCCTGTAAAGCAGAAGACGTTCATAGAGTCTTCTCTGGGACATACACACAGTGCCCCCATTCCTCTATCTCCAAAGAAATGGCTAGAGTTATAAAGCACAGTGAATGTCATTCAAGGCCACCAATGACAATCAGGCACAGCACTGGTGGTAGACTATCAGACATGCTGATTCTGTGTTTTTTATTCACAAGAAGTGACATCCTACAGTATATACACATTAGGAACAGTCCATTCTGACAAAGGATTGACATGCATAAGACCAAATAAATGTGAAGTAAAAAAGAACAAGTGAGACCTAATAAAAAAAAATAACAAGCCAAGTAATTGTTTTATAAATACAATGTCTTACAGAAGACATGTGTCCAATGGTGAATTTTGTTCTGTTCTGAAGGAAAAGCAGAGTTCATTATTTATATATAAATAAAGTTCATTATTCTGTGTTGAATTACTGTATGTGTAGTGTAGAATTATGATATAATTGAACCACCATCTGCCTGCCCATGTCCTTGGGAGCCTGAGAAGGAGGACTGCTTGTCTGCTTGGCTCAACCAGACTGGTGCTCTGCGGATGATGTGGGAAGCAGTGGTGAGTCCTGTTGCTGATAAATGAAACACAAGCATGCTGTTAGGCACCTGATTCAGTATGTTTGCCCTTCTCTGTGTACACTGTCTGTGGTATCCACTGTCCTGTACCATGAAGTGCTGTCTGCCTCCCTGTTCCAGTGTTGTGCAGAGTCTCTTTCAATAAAGAGCATGTATCACTGGGTCATGTAGTCTGCTTCTTGGACTATAATATATCTGTCTGCCTTGGACTATGGTCATCATTATTATTATTACTGCTATTTGTGCATTGTGTAACAAAGGCACAGAGGTTCAATGTTTCTCACGGTTACTTTTTTCTTGCTCATTCTACCCATATAAATC